TTTCTCCCATTATATATCCTCGTTAGAAAGTAATGCCATAAAATGTATCTACCAACTAGCTAGCACTGTTACTCTTCTTTCAAGTTGCAAGAAACTCAGAGAAGAGGTGTAGGAAGGCGGGAAAATTGAGGAGATCGAACATATAAGATTCAAATTCTTTTGAGACAAGAGGTGCTACCAAGTTAACAGTTAATCTGTAAAAACGATTTCATATATATTTCTCTTTGTTTTTAAGTAAAATTTTTCATCATAATCGTACAAAATATCCATGAGCACTAGTAGAAAATTAATTATTCTAGACGGAATATCCTAGACGGAAAATTTTCCGTCTAGGATATTACATCCTAGACCGAAAAATTCCGTCTAGGATATTCCGTCTAGAATATAATATTCTAGACGGAAATTTCCGTCTAGAATAGTATTCTAGACGGATTTATTTTTTTATTTAATTTTTTGTAATGAACCGAGAATCCTAGACGGAAATTTCCGTCTAGAATACATTCTAGACGGAAATTTCCGTCTAGATGATCTGCTCATTATTTAGTAAAAGAAGGCCACGGTACCCTTTAATTTCTCCCGCCTAAAATTCCCACCTCAATCCCCAATTTTCCCTCCTCAAAACCCTAAATTCTGCCCCCTCTTAAAAATCACAGAGATCCCAAAATTTTCTCTTCCCCTATTCTTCTCCCCTTCTTCTCCTCTGTTCAAAGGCGATAACTCCCGTCCCATCGTCGCCTCCCCCCTCGCCCCCGCGCCCTCCTTCTCCTTCGACATCGTCGTCCCCGTTCGTCGTCCCGTCGTCGCCTCCCCCTCAGCTCGCGAATGTGCTCTCTGAATCAGGCCTGGAGATTTTTAAGGTTCCTCTGTTTTCCTTTATAAAAAAAACATCGCTAATCTCCAATTTCTCCAGCTCCAAAAAAGCCCTAATTTCTCCGCTAATTCAATGCATGGGGCTGCTGGAAACTATCCTCAATTGGCTCCGAAGGTGAGATCCTCGACCCCTCCCGCATTACTCGTTGATTCGTTTGTTCTTAGATTCGAATCATCGGATTTTTAGGGTTTGAATCTGTTTTGTTGCGTTTCGTTTGTTCAGGCAAAATTTTGAATTCTAGGGTTAGTAACGGTGAAAAGGGACGAAGATCAAGATTGGAATTTTATTTCTTTGGAGCTGTAGGAGTCGATTGAGATAGAATAGATAGTACTATTTACCTTAATTTTTTTATTTTTGTTGACTGCAGAACGCTGGGAAAACTTCCCTTGTGAATGTCATCGCAGTATGCACATTTTGATGTCTGCAACGGATATTTAGTTCTTGATCAGTGTAATTTGGGCTTAAGATGCTAATTAAATTTTTTTCAACTTTGTGCAGACTGGTGGATATAGTGAGGACATGATTCCTATAGTAAGTATAACATTCAACATGTAGGACTACTGGTTGTTGTTCTTTGTTATGCATCGATTAGCTTTTGTTGGGTATTGAATAGATTGGATTATATAGGTGAAATTTATATTTTAAAAAAAAGTCTTGAGCTACATTTTCAAATTAATGCAAGTGCACAGTCATCTAGGGTTTGGACATGTAACTACATGCAGCTCTAGTGAAGAGCTTGGCAGTTAGTTTCCAGATATGTTACTTGATGTTTGATAAATTTTTGCAGTTAAATTTCATCGATGATGTCTTAAAAATTGTTAATTCATGTTATTTGATAAGTTATCTTTACTTTTATAGAATTTACTTGAGTGATATTAAGTTTACTTACTAGAGATAATCAATGAATCTCAATTTAAGATGGTAATGTACAGAATTTTTTTTGTTATAGAGTGTCATTAATGCACAATTTCATGAAGAATAAAAGGAAATGTAATTCTAATTAGTACTCCAAGATGTTTATCATGGGAAATTTTTAAATTGTGAAATTGATGTAATTTTGAGTGATTTTATAAATTTGAGTGTAATTGTGAAATTGATGGGGAAATCTGAGTGATTTTATAAATTTTGAGTGTAATTGTGAAATTGATGTGCAGCCGACAGGGGAGAATGGGGTAACGAGGGCGTCGATCAGTATTGACTTGCAGAGAGATGGGTCGCTGGGCAGTAAAGCGATTATATTGCAGATTGATAACAAATCTCAGCAGGTTTTAGTGAGTAAGTAGGAGAATTTTTCCTGTTCGGCATGAATGTTATTTGTGAATTGAGTTGATGTTGCTTTCTTATATATAGTTGGTTTGGTTGTTGTATAGGTGCTCTTAGGCATTCTCTGCAAGTATTGTTGCTCTTATAAACGTCTACCTACCGATGAATTTATGTTTTTTCTCCTTTATCTGTGTAGAGTTACTGAAAGATGCATTGATCTGTATCGCTCAATGACAATTACTATATCTTTTTTCAGAATGCAATATGTTTAACATTCTCTTTATTTGTAATATTTTATTCCTCTTACTGGAGATTTTAATCTCCATTGAAACTGCCTGATCCAAAGATCAAGGTCCTTGCAAGTAGTGCTGTAAGGTCTTCTGCCATTAACATTTTCTTTTCTTTTGGGAATCGATGTGTTAAAATCAGAGTACCTCCTTTACTCTTTCACTAATACTAATATGTCTGTTCATAATAATGATTCAGGTGTTTTACACACCATTCTTGAGGCAGATATGGACATGGTTAGGGCTGGTTCCAGCGTCCAGAAAGAATTTTTACTCGTATCTGAAAGCTGGCTATAGTTGCATAGTAGTGCCTGGTGGTGTTCAGGAAATTATCCATATGGACCATAAATCTGAGGTGTGCCTAAAACCTTGATTTTTTTTCTTTTTCTTTTTCTTTTTCATTGCTTGAATTTCTTATAAATTCATTGAAATCTTACCATGTTCTGATGATAAATGTAGCGTAGTTGATGCTAGCTTAAAGGCCAAATTATGTGCACATATATTTGTTTCCCTTTATGTTTGGAGGTTTTGTTAATCTTTTTTTAATGGAACTCCTGCCTAAATGCTTTCTTCTCATTTTTTTAATGATAATGCCGGATGCTTGACTAAAATAACTATCAAATACATAACCAGTAGTACTAATGAAGCATTAAATTCCATATGAAGGAAACTGGTATTCACAACTACATCATGTAGCATGTCTGTTATTTCCTAGGTCTTCCATGCATGTCAAGTTGATACATAGAACATAACAGAGGTCCATACACAAACATAGAAGTACACAAACAGAAAAAAGAAATCAATAACGCTCATAGAGCTTAACATCCATCTGGACCTTGAAGTATGTCAAACTTGCCGACAATGTCTTAAAGGTGGCAATTCCACGTGCCATGAAGAAATCCCCAGTTCCGCCCACCACAGAGAGGTTTGAACAAGAATCTCGATTCTAGGATGATGAGGAAGTAATTCTCTTTGAGATCTTTGATGATGGAGCTTCCCTGCATCTCTATTTGTTAAAGCTGATCTGCTCTGTATAAAGTATTTAGAAAAGAAAAAATGCCATGTTCAAGTTTTTTGTCGGATCATAAACTATGTTCAAAATGAATGGTAAGAAGTAGACAATTGTTTAGATTTTAAGCTTGGAGTATACAAATTTAGAGTTCAGACATTGGCCCATGATGTAATAGTTCAAAATCTTTGTATGCAATATTGATGGGGTTGAAACATTTTCGATCATAAACTACACAACTTGTTATTTAAGCCCTTCATTTTTGCGGCCACTTGATCCATGAGAAAGAAAGCTTAAAATTTCAAAAGTTTGGTTTTAGGTTTTTAGCCACGCTAATAATGTAGGTTTCACCATGTTCGATCTTTAATTTGATGCTCTATCATTGATTTTCAGTAGGAAAGGTTTTGACTTTTAATCAAAGTCTATCTATTTATTGTTCTTCTTGCCGTTTTTAATATTCTTATAATCTTATTATAGATATGGTGAGGAAGAAGGTGATGAGGAAGAAGGTGAAGGAGAAGAAGATGGCTTGAGTAAATGTATAGGGAAGAAGTTGAAGAAGCTTCTGCAGTGTCATAGCCATTGTAAATAATTTATGTAAAAGTTTATAAATAATTTATGTATCTCTCTACTATTTTGGTGAATGTATTATTTGAATATAATGGGATTTGATATTGAAATATAATTAGATTGTGTTGGATATGAATATAATTTTTTGTTATTCAATATAGTGTACATGCACCCAAAGTAGATTCTGCAAAAAAGAAAAAAAAAAAAAAACTACTGTAGCTTAGTATCCTAGACGGAAATTCCGTCTAGGATGCTGAAATTCCGTCTAGGATGTATTTTTTAACAAAAAAAAATTAAAAAATTAAAGAACATCAAATTCCGTCTAGAATGAGTATTCTAGACGGAAATTTCCGTCTAGAATACTCATTCTAGACGGAATTTTTTTCCGTCTAGGATGAATTATTCTAGACGGAAATTCCGTCTAGAATAATTCCTAGACGGAATATTCTAGACGGAATTCAAAACCGTCTAGAATACATCCTAGACGGATTATACATCCTAGACGGAAACATACTAGACGCGTATTCTAGACGGAATTCCGTCTAGAATAAGCATTCTAGACGGAATTTTGTGTATCCTAGACGGAATTTTCCGTCTAGGATGCCTAATTTTTTAGCAGTGGAGATCTCTTGTTCAGTCTGCTTAGGGATGTTAAATGGGTGGGTTTGGGTATTAAATGGGCGGACCATAAATGGGCGGGCATGTTTTGCCCATTTACCCATTTATGGCCCATTTAATATTTTCTAAATGGACGGGTTTTTGCCCGCCCATTTAATAAACGGGCCACTCATTTTCCCATTTAACTATAGTAGCTATATATGTATAATACTTTAGAGTGTTTTTTGTAAACTTTAGGGGTTTTTTGTAAACTATTGGGGGATTTTTGTAAAATTTACGGGGCTTTTTGTAAACTTTTTGAATTATCAAAATATGCACAGACATGTACATAACCCATTCAGGAATAGCATGAACATATTGAACAAGATAGCATTAAAATTACCAATCATGTATTTTTTTTACTATACCAAGCACAAAGAACTCAAAGAATACATCACCTGCAAAATGATATACATTGTTTATTGCGATAATCAATGCCACAAGAAGCCACTTATGCCATATCAAAAAGAAATTCAAATAGAGCACAACTTTTTCGAACGTGCAAACCTGTCTTATGAATAATCATCACAACTCGCCTTAAAATGCCACAATAACCCCAATCAAAGGAAAAATATTGACAGAATTTTGATGGGAGAGGGATTATAACAAACACATTAACCAAACATCAAACCCCTCACGAGAGTCCACATAAAAATGTCAGTTACTTCACACAGGAAAAACAAGTTCAGAACAATCATGTTGTTCTAACATTACAGAAAGGAAAAATACAGTGTACGAAAAAGCTCAGAAGACCATATACAACAAATTTTCATCTCTCACATGATATTAGAAAAAACAATGAGAACAAAACTCTACTTGGTAGCCTGTGCAATCATATTGCTTATGGAACTAGCTTGCTCTTTGGCAGTCTCCACCAGTGAATCTTGCATGCAGAAACACAATTAAGATACTTACACGGTTAAAATACTTTTGCTAACATATACAAGTGACAAACCTTGTGCTAACATACACAAGTGTTTTGCATAATGACACCACACTATCACCCCATTGTACAAGTATCAGCTACAATTAGGATAATCATTAAAAGAACAAGTCATATGGTCTCAGGAAACAAGCAAACAACCATTGATATATAAAGAGACAAAAATAACGGCAAAAATGACTTGCACACAAATAAGAAAAGATGCCAACAACTTAATAAAGTAAATGTTTTACTGAAATCATGTACTAATAAATTTCCTTCTTCAATGTCCGCACCTCCAATTTATATGATTTCATCAACCAATGACTGCTGAACATAGAACAAATTCCTGAGTTTTTATACACTGAGCCTCAATCTTTGATTATTGAATCTTGCAGATGATGCAAAGGTAATATATGGGCTATCCCTAATCCTCAAGGTCTCACCGAGATCATAATTCTAGTTCTCCAGTTCCAGCTACAGCCTCTTACACCGATATCTGAAATAATACACACAGCTTCTTCAACTCCTCAGTTCAAAGGCCTCAGAGTGCTGGCAACAAGTGTTGTTCAAGCTTCGTAGGACACACAACTAATGTAAGGCAGCATGCTGTAGTCAGTGCTGGGCATGCATCGCAAAACAAAAGAGTTGGCAAGGCAAGTTATCGAAAGGTTAAACTAAACCAAGAGCTGGCACTTGGCATAAGACATACTTACTGCTTCAGGCTAGACGTGAACAAATCAAATACTGGTACTTAGAGTTTAGAAGTGCTTCTTGTTAGATCTTTTAATAAATTTTATTGTGAAATGAGACAAATTCGAGACTTTGTTTCAGATGTAGTACCATGGATGAACCGAATATGCTCTCAGAATGTGGTCTATGCATTGAAACCAAGATGATGATCGCATTGTAAAGGTATTGGTCATGACTCTAATCACTGCAGAAAACATCCTTCAGTGTAAAAGTGAGCACCTGCCACTAAAAAGACAAACACTAATGCTAGCAAGGAAAGCTCAACTGGTAATGACTGCTATGGAGTTGTTTCCAACAGTGATCCTAGCACTTCAGATTATTCTACATTCACTGAGGGAAATCTTTATATCATAGAAAACATCAGTTATAAGAAGTATATTACAAAAATAAGCATTCAACTAAGAGTAAAACAATATTAAATGAATACCTTATCTTGAATCTCTTTTCATATAATAATCTTGTTCCCTTTCGTTCACATGTATCGATGATATCCATTGCATAAAACAAGACAACATTAAAAAGGTTTGCAACAATGCACATTAAAAAGAGTTGCATGGTTGTCCTTTGAGGTTTCAAAAGTGATATTTTTTCCTCTCATTTTCAATTTCAAGTCAAATAAATAATCATCAATGTTTAATATATAGTCTCACACATCCGCATACAATTATTTATTTACATAAAAGTGCAAATAATTGTCATTTATATGATATTAGCTTTTGTATACATGTTAATCTTGTTGAAATTAAAAGAGAGGGGAAAGTATCACTTTTAAAATAAGATCATTCATTCGTCCAGGGGGTCCTAATAACTATGTCCTGAGAAGAGCAAGAGAGAAAATGACATCAGAGGAAATTATTCTTTATCGCACTCATATCACAACAAATAGATATTATCTATACAAATATACAGTCATAGATATATTAAGCATAAAATGCTACAATGATCATAGGTCGTTCAATGGTTGTGTGTGTGTGTGTCTATATACAGTCATAGATAAAAAACCATAAAAAAGAATACACCGCCTAAATTTTAAGAGCCAAACTTGAGCACGGCTGGGTTTAGACGGGATTGGAAATTACTCTTTGTATATAACATTCAGTTCTCAAGGTTGAACCTCAATAATCCTTCCAATGACCACGTCATGCAATTATAGCTCTAAAGTTCAATGCATATTGATGTTTTAATTTTGATATGAATCATCAAAGTAAAACCTTCATCTCAGCTCCATATACAATGTACACAACATGCAGTTCTGCTAAAATAATAAATCCACCAATTAAGCCACATTACCATGCTTTGAAATACTCTGGATAATAATAACAACAAGGCAATTCAAGAATTTGATTCGAGAGTAAAGAAAATGCAAATCAAATAACACCATTAATACTAGAATCACAAAATACAAAAACAGATACTTCAAAAAGAAAATGTCCAGTGTAATTTCCATGAACAGATAAACGATCATTGAGATTATTACTAGATCTACAAATTCTTAAGCAATTCAGCCAACAAATATTTAATTACTAACATCACTAGATCTAATCATACATAGCTTAACAAATATATAACCGAACACCATAAAAATCATAAAATTTTGAGAAAATCTCAGTCCGCAAGCTAATTTCCAAATTAATTTGCAAAAATGGAAATTCAATTCATAAAACTAGAATGATAACCTTTGACTCAGGGTTTGAGGAGCTAAGATTGGTTAGACATTGTTGATGGTGGATCGAGTAGTAGACGATGAGGCCGAGGTTGACATCGATGACGAGGTCGAGGGAACTTCAGAGGTCAAGGTTGGGGTCTAGGGTTTCATTGTTGATGATAATCGTTCGAAGAGGTCGGCGAGAGCAGAGAGGTTTGAGATTGAGATTGAGATGGGAGAGGACGGGGTACAGATTGCGGCCGCCGCCGCGGAGGCAGAGCTTGTCGGCGGTCGGGTTAAAAAAAACTATATCGGATCAATAATCAACGGGGAGTAAAATGAAAAAGCTATTTTAGAGTTTCTAATTTCGGCCTCACTTTATTTCTTTGAACCTTCATGGCTTCATTTGTTTCCCAAATATTGTAAATCAATTTCGTAAAAAAACGATATTAAGCTACAATTTGCAGGTGACAAGGTGCTAGCCTGAAACTAGACATAATTGACTAAGTACTCTTGGAACATAATTGGCCCGGCCCATCTCTGGCCCAGTCCCAGCCCGAACGCCTAATGGGCGCCTAAAGTGGACGCTTTACTATCCCCACGCGGTTAATCGAGCAGGTCGGTGTTAAGACCGATTTCTCGCCTGTAAAAAGCGTACGGATAATAAAGCACCCGTTGTTGCGCCGCTTAAGCGTTTATACTCTAACGGGCAGGCTTTGGGCCGTGTCATATAAGGTCCAGCTAATTCGCTATTCGTATCACAGAAACAAAGTTTCGTACCAAATATTAAGAGGATTAAAGTATTACCGTGTTAAAATTATAGTAAGATATGGAATTTTCTACATACAAAATCAATTTTGAATTCGCCAATTATAATTAGCACGATATCAATATTCAAGCAGAAACATGTTCAATATGAAATCAAATAAATAAAAACATTTTTTTGGTGGAATCGGAAAAGGTTCTATTACATTTAAATAAAAATATTTATAGATGTGAAATTAATGGGAAAATCACATTTAGATAAATTTGATGAAATTCATATTCAACGTAACTAACTTTAAAACAATAATAATAATATGAAAGAGTCAAAGTTTGTGCTTAGTTCCTTATTTCGCCAATTATAAAGGTTGTGCATAGTTCCCCCACAACTAAAGCACCCCC